AATTTCCCTTGACCATGCAGATCATACATTTGACCTTACATATGACCATGCATATCCCTCCAGCTGCTCCCCATGTTTCCGCATTTCTTCATAACACAACTTCTCCTCCTCGTTGCCCAAGTTCTGTTTCCTCTTCCTCACCTCTCTTTCACATTTCCCTCTGCCTCCACCTCTCCATTGGAATTGGTCAAGGTCTCCCAAACACCGTATGATTTCACTCATATGTGGAAGATAGACAAACACATGGATAAGGAGAACAGATTAGTGGTTACCAGAGGGGAGGGGTTGGGGAGGGGAGGGCGAAAAGGGTAAGGGGGCACATATGTATGGTGATGGATAAAAACTAGACTATTGGAGGTGAGCAAAATGCAGTCTATACAGAAACTGATATATAATCATGTACAACTGAAATTACACAATGTTATAAACCAGTATGACCTCAATAAAATAAAATAAAATAAGAATTGGTCAAGGTCTCCGGATAATGTCCATATTACTAGATTCAGTGGATGTTCTTGTCTCATCTGAGCCCCAGCAGCACTGGACACAGATGACCAGTTGCTTTTTCTTCAGACACTCTCTTCTGTTGGCTTCCACATCGTATGGGCATGGTTTTTCTCTCTTACTCAGTCTCCTTTGCTGGCCCTCCTCCTTGCCTGACCTTGAACTGTTTCAGTGCCACCCAGAGCCCTGGGCCCATTTCTCTTCAGCCTCAGCTCGATGGCGGCCACTTGGTCTTGTTCACCACTCAGTGTGTCCCCAGTGCCTGGAGCAGTGACTCACAGTGGGCATCTAATTATGTGTTGAATGAGTAAAGTAAAAATAAAGTTGTATCAAACAAAGCAGTAGGAATCTATCCTTGAAGAACATACAGTGGATTCTTGTTATTTGTGATAGTTATATTCTATAAAGTTGCCGTGAACACTGAATTAGCGAATACTAACCACTGCTCCTAGGGTTAGGTTCCTGTGAGCCTCTGGTCACAGTGTTTTCATCAAGTGATGAATACATGACCATGTTCTATGTGTGTTTCTGTTTAAAGGCATCTTATTTAATACATATTATTGGTTCATTAACAGTGAACTCACAGTGGCAACACTATAATTCATGCTGGACGAAGCTTACCTGACATACGTGATCTCTCTCTGAGGCACATCACAGCCTTCTTGCACTTAGAACACGAGCCAGCACCTCAGCACTTTGGTTGGGGCCATTTTTTTTTTAATTTTTTTTTATTGATGTCATAATAGTTTATAACATTGTGAGATTTCAGTTGTACATTATTATTTGTAAGTCACCATATATATGCGCCCCTTCACCCCTTGTGCCCACCCCCCTGCCCCCTTCCCCCTGGTCACCACTAAACAGTTCTCTGTGTCCGTGTGTTAGTTTATATTCCACATAAGAGTGAAGTCATACAGTGTTTGTCTTTCTCTGTCTGGCTTATTTCACTTAACGTAATACCCCCCAGGTGGTTGGGGGCCATTTTAAACTGTAATATCACCAACCAAAAGCAAAAAGTAGACCATGAAAAGGACAGTTGTTTACAGTGTGAGAGTGGAAGCAAGAATGCAGAATGTCACCTTGTTAGCCTCAGCTGGGAACGTGCATCAGGCAACTCAGATTTTTCACCACTCTCTCTATGTCCATGGGTGACTGTAAAAGCACTGTGGCTGTTAATTTTAGAGATTACAAATAAACGTTAGCAACTAGGCAAATTCACAAATAAAGCATCTGTGAATAATGAGGATTGTCTGTATTTAGAAATAAGTTCTTTTTACCACTCACTTAACTTACGGGGCCAGTGAATTTAAATAAAATTTACTTGTTTAATCAAAATCAGTTTTGCATATACCAGATTCCTTTAGTATGCCCCAGTCCTAGAACTAATAAAGCTGAAAGTCCAACTCTTATTTCCCAGTTGAGGAAATTGGTACCAGGTCTTATAACTAGTAAACAGCAGTGCCAAGACGAGAATCTGATTGTCACCCTCTGATTTTCATGAGAGGCCCACCTCTCCTCGTCCCCATTACGTCCCAGCACTTACTTGGATGTGTGGTACTGTGGTGCTTGTCCAGGGCCTGTCTTAGAATGAATACAGTTGTACTTGACCAAGACCAGCTTTACTGCTTAGATGTAGCTCTGGGGGCCATATCACTTCACCACCAAAATGGACTGTCATGATAAGATTAGCCCATTTGTTGGATATGACCCATTTCAAGAGATTCTTGGGTTTTTGTTTTTTTTAGTGGTATTTTGAAAAGCTTGGGAAATGCCCCAAATCTAATCATGAGGTCTGTTTTCAATCATCTGACAAATGTGTAATCAGCTCCTCCTGTGCCAGGCGGGGCCAGACCTGGGGGTGCAGCGTGAAAGGGCAGACACTTTCCTTGTGGACTTGGTCTTGGACACTGGGCCTGGCAGGGAACACGGCTGCTGAACAATCGTCCAGATTACCAGTGGTAACGTGGTAACTAGCAGGGAACACCGCTGCTGAACAATTGTCCAGATTACCAGTGGTAACATGGTAACTGCTACAGTGAATGGAGAATGCAATTGATTAAGTGCACCCCGAACAGTTATTAAGTGGAAAGGGGGAGCCTGAAGAGTGAGATGTTGGACAGTGATGGCGAAGGGGCCCTCGTCCACCCAGACTGGAGCAGCTGGCCACCTTGTGGAAATGCATCTGGCAGACTGGGGCACCAGCCTTGGAGACTGTCCTCCCAGCTCTTCTTGATCCACCAGATCCACTGCTCACCACGCAGGCTTCTGGTCATAATTTGATAGCCCCGTCAATTTCCTGAGAGAAAATGGGGCTGATGAAAGAATGCAAGTATCTGGTCCTGAGGGAAGTATTTTTACTGCAATAATCGACATTCTGGGCTATGTATCAGTTTCTTCTGAGTTTGCTTGGCCTGGTGTTCGAGCACTGCCATGGGCCAGGCAGTGTGCCAGGCGCTAGAGACACATCAGTCGGTAAAAGCAGGCCAAGATCCTCCCCCTCATGTGCTCTGGGATCACTCTGACTGTGCCCTTCAATCGAGGGTCAGGTCCTGGGAGGGACTGTGGCTCCTCTGAGATGCTGCCAGGCTGAGAAACTTCGGACTTGCATCTGTTTTTTTTGAATAAAGGTTAGTTTGCTGCTGCAGGAAACAGAAGTGAGTATGTTTGTGTCAAAGTGACTGTGAATAAACTGCTGTAAAGAGCTTCGAATCATGCCCTTGGTTTTACTGCTTGTCCAGTCTGAGTAACAGTGGAATCTGAGTTGTTTTCTATGAGTGTGTGTTATGCCACTTTGGATGTGACTCTTCACCTGACACCCGCTGTGTTAGCACCTAGTCTGTGCCGAGCACGTGAGGCTGTCAGATCCACACTGGAATGACTGAGACCGTGCATTTTCCTACAACTAGTATATGTCTTAATAAAGGGGGCCCTGAGAGCTTAGTCTTTCCCTCTATGTGGTAGTTTGGTTTCTAAACTAAAATGTGCTTTTAAGTTACACCATTTAAATCCAGCGACAGAGTTTATTGAAAGGAATCAGGAAACTTGGCACTTTGTCCTTTGTGTGAATTTCACATAGGGGCATTCTGTGTACAGTGGAGACATTGCTGAGGCTCCAGAGAGTCAGAACTTCCCGGTCCCCTGTGCCGCACCGTCTGGTTGTCTCTGTCCTCTGTGCCCTGCGTAGGTCCAGATAGAGAGAGTGTGGCCTCAGATTGTTGTGGGATTAATGACAGGGGGCGTGCTGGACACACCTGGCTCCGCTATCTTCCTGTAGCGTAGGTAAAGACAGACTGCATGTGAAAATTATCTAGATTCTTGCCTCTGTGGTTTTCCTACATTCCAGAATTCTCTTTGCTCCTAGATCTGAACGTACCCTAGAGACTTAGTAATAAACCAAAGGGAGGACAAGGAGATATTGGGGTATGTGTGGAGATAGGTGTGAAGTAACACCTGTGGAGGGTCTGCTGTATCTGCTACTTTCTGTGCAAGATGCTGTACACACAGTGTTTTTAATCCACAATCTTTTAAGTAGAGAATGTCCCCGCTTTAAGTGGGGAACAGGGGGCTAATGGGCATAGAGTGCTGACTATGGGCTGGTATCTATAATTCCTCCTAACAGTACTGTAGAGTAGCTGTGATCCCCATTTTACATATGAGGAAAGCAAGACTTAGAAAGATTGACTCATTCAAAGAATATTCGGGGGCCTGTCCTGTGTCAGGTACTGTAAGGGCCAGGGAGACAGTTGTGAGCAGAAAGTGAGGCCCCTGCCCTCGTGGAGCCCCCATTCCAGAGTGTGTATAAGGAGTACCCAGGGAGCAGATAAAGAAGGTGATTACAGGTGATGGCCAGGGAGGATGTGAAGAAGATAATGAGAAAGAGGAGAGGAGGGCTGGCCTCCCTTTGACAGAGTGGTCAGAGGGTCAGTCCTCTCTGAGAGGTGGCATTTGAGCTGAGGGTGGATCCTCCATACAGAATGCAGGAGACACTGTGAGTGGTTTTTCTGTGGCTCTTAAATGGTGGATTTGACCCCAGTCTGTCTGCCCCAGAGCGCATCTTTTTTTTTTTTTTTTGTGAGGAAGATCGGCCCTGAGCTGACATCTGCCGATGCTCCTCTTTTTGCTGAGGAAGACTGGCCCTGGGCTAACATCCATGCCCATCTTCCTCTACTTTCTATGGGACACCACCACAGCATGGCTTGACAAGCAGCGCGTCAGTGCACGCCCAGGATCAGAACCTGTGAACCCCGGGCCGCCGAAGCAGAGCGCGTGCGCTTAACTGCTTGCGCCACCGGGCTGGCCCCCCAGAGCTCATCTTCATACTTGCCTGTGCTCTGGGACCATGCCCGCAGCCCAGCCCCATCACCGAACGCCCACCTTGTAGCCCAGTAGTGCCCTGCTTTACATACGTCTACATTTAGACCCTTGTTCATGTGTGTGAGCAGATGGTGCCTATTGACAGGGATACGTATATCTATTTTTTTTTGTTCTCCTATCAGCTGATACTGAAGATGTGTGCATCGTAGAACGACTGTTCTCAAGCAGCTTAGTGGCTATCGTTAGCCTCAAAGCTCCTAGGAAGCTGAAAGTGTGCCACTTTAAGAAAGGAACTGAGATCTGCAACTACAGCTACTCCAACACGATCCTGGCCGTGAAGCTGAACAGGCAGGTGGGTAATGCTTTTGTGCAGGGGAGACCGCCAGGTGGGCTCTGTCCCACGCGCGGTGCTTTCAGTCTGGCTTTGACTGTCGCTGCTGTTCCAGAGCTTCCTCCTGTGCCTCTAGGACAAAGCCAACAGTCCTTAGCTGGCTGTTTTGGGGCCCCAAGCCCTCTGGCCCCTGCACCTGCTCACCTCACCCCACATCACCCCACGTGACTCTCTGTTTCTCATCTCAGCAGTTTGCTCAAAGCATTCCGTTCCTGACGAATGCCCTTGCTCGCTGCCAGACTCAGTTTCACTCATCCTTCGAGACTCGAGCCTTGTCGTTTCTCCCTATATCCATATACTTATCGGTAGAATTGAATCATAGTTTATCTATCTGCTTTTGCTTTTATAAATATTACTTTTAAAAATCTTTAAAAGTCATCTTCTTTTTCCTTTTTTAAACTTTTCATTTAGCTTTTAATTTAAAAAGAAGCACATATTCCTTCCTTGTATCTTCCCCAAAACTCACAAGATTGTCTGGACCGGAGTGTGGACTTGGTGACTAGCACTTGAGTGTATTTCATGGGACTGTCACATGGCTTTGCTTATTCACAAAATACAGCACAGTCCTTAAGGTCCCTCAGCATTTTTTGTTTACCACGAAGTGTTCTATGCAGGGAAGTCTCATTCAGCGGCCGGGTCTGGAACTTACGTAACTGCAGCTAGTGGATTCTGAGATGCCGTGACTGGGTAAGGTAGTTACAGTGGAGGCCCACTGACGTGGTTGAAACTGGGAATTGGTCTATTAACTGAAACAGTTGGTTAAACTGGGAAATTATAAGGCATACCACGTTGAACGTTTTTTTAAACGTAAAACATACAGATGTGCATTCATGTACCAGCTAACGGAGAGCCGTGTGCGTACCAAGTTGTCTTTCTTGCATGAATCATCCCCTTGATGCATCAGCTACGAGCACATCCGTCGTCTTTAAAATGGAGCAAGAGCTTAGACACCTGCAAAGTAATCTGCATACACAATGAATTTTTATACTTTTTTAAAAATCTCTAGACTTTTACTTTCATCTTGCCACCCTAATTCAACAGCAGTGTTTTGAGGCAGCTCACCTTCACCAAACCTGTCCAAGGCAAGCAACCTGGTGTTCATGAGAGTGAAACAAAACAAACCATGTTTTCTCAGCTGTAGCTGACGGGCTTCTGTAGTGTTGAATTAAGTATTTGAATAAATCGCAGCTAGAAGTCCCAGCACAGCCGGCAGAACGGTCGTGGGAGCAGGCACCGGCTCTGGGCACCACTTAATTGGTAGATGGGGAGCGTGGTGCTGCAGGCAAGCTGCCTGGTAGCGACCAGTGCCGTGAGTGTCCAGTCTGCGTGGTGTTCTAGAAAGACCGCGGAGTGTCTTATCCAGGAGTCTGTTCACTGAAGGTTGGGAGCGTGCATTTTGTTGGCTCTTTCTTTATGTTTGGTTTTCTTTGTTTTTGGTCTCTCTTTTCCAGAGGCTAATAGTGTGCCTGGAAGAGTCTCTCTATATACACAACATCAGGGACATGAAGGTCCTGCACACCATCAGGGAGACCCCCCCCAACCCTGCAGGTAAATTAATTGTGACAAGACAGTCCTTTTTTTCTGATTCTTCCTTTTAAAGATGGCTGGAGTTGAGAGAGATTTTTTCTTTTTATAGGTTCCACAGATATATACAGATCTTAAAAGTATTGACCTTAAACCAAGCTACCTTCCTTCAGATGCTGGTCTTGTGACCACCTAAATCGTTGGTCTGGTCAGCTTCCAATTGTGAGGTTGTTGATCAGTTCCAAGCAAAGGCCTTTAATCTCCTCTTACCATCGCGCTACCCCCTGAGGTGGCAGTCTGGGGTGTGGAGCTTAAAAAAACCCAACAATGCAACGACCAAGGTTGTGCCAGAGCTCTCTGATTTCTATATTCTTGGTGAAGAACATGCTAAATTACGTCTGACAACTAAAAAGGAAACCCTCTTGACCTAACCGTGCGTTCGTTCTCGTGTGTGTCTCACAGGCTTGTGTGCACTGTCCATAAACAACGACAATTGTTACCTGGCGTACCCGGGCAGTGCGACCATCGGGGAGGTGCAAGTCTTCGACACCATTAATTTGGTGAGGTTCCTTTTGTACCTGGATGGCTCTTTAAAATGGACCTTTTTCCGAAAACAGGTGCTATGGAGCCTTTGGCATCCCAGCTTCCTCAGCTCAGCAATACAGTTTCACTGCTACCTCTTAATGGCCAAGCAGGTGTCTGGGTGGTTCTCCTCCAGATGTAGTCCTGTGTTCCCACAGTGCTGAGCTCCTAGCAGTGTGCATGCTTGAAGGGATGGACAAGACTATAAAAACTTTATGGATGAGTTGCTTTGCTTTTTTTGAGGTTTTGAGCAGCATTTCCTTGGACGCCCCCCACCCCCAACCCCAGTAAATGGAGTGGATTTGGTGTTGGTATTAACCGTAATGGTGTTTTAGTCACAGCTAATTGGCATTTTCAGCCTAATGACCAGTAGTAGCACGGGGCCTGGTCTCGATGCGTGGCACTCACGGTTTACTGGTTGACCCTTCCAGAGAGCTGCGAACATGATCCCAGCTCATGACAGTCCTTTAGCAGCACTGGCTTTTGACGCAAGTGGAACCAAGCTCGCCACTGCTTCTGAGAAGGTAAGTCTGCTGTGGCCCAGTGGAAAACTAGTTAAGAGGTTCCAGCAAACTTTCAGTTCCATTCACACAGTCAAGTTATCAAACAAGTTTTTGTATCAACCAGCTCACAGGGAAGCACGGATAATAGCCCGCTAGTCAGGCTGTGAGAGTCGCTGCCACGGAGCGGCCTTCCACCCGACAGTCCAGCCAACGCGTTTGTGGTGGGAGAGGCAGAAACAGAGGGGAGCCGAAAATGCCATTCGCAACCACACGCTCATCCAGTGTGCTTCCTAACTGTAACACTAACGTACATGGTCATAGAGAACTTAGAAGATAATGAAAAGCATAAAAAAGCAAAGACGTGAACACGTTTCAATGTATTTCCTTTCATTCTTCTTCTATTTATTTAACAAATTGTGATCATACTCTATGTATAATTTATTATCCTTTTTTTCACTCTGCATAATATTGTACTTCTCTCAAGTTAAAAAACACTTTTAATGGCTGTACAGTATTGTGATTATTATTTAAACATCACCCTTAGGGGACATGTATATTGTTTGTAATATTAATATATTAGAATTATTAATATATTATTCTAATACATTAATGTTAGAATTAATAATATATTATTAATATAATATTTTGTATATTGTGTATAATGTGATTTTTAATATTGGTAATATATTAGAATTATTAATATATTAGAATAATATATGAGAATTATTAATATATTAGAACAATATATTAATAATGTATTAATATATTAGAATATAGATAATAGTGTATTTGTCTTACATATAAATCTTTTTTGTGCATTTCTATTAACTTAAGAGAGTCTGGTGAAAAGAATTTCTGGGTTAAAAGCGTGTGGCCTTCTGAAGCTCTCCACCTGCAGGACAGAATGAATTTGGCTTCCCTTCCGTTAACCTCTTCTCTTGGCCTCCCTGACGCTGAAGGGTCCTCGTTCTCCTGGCGTGGCTGCCACATCGGTTTCCTTTGTTCCACTCTTTTTAAAAATCCCACTCTCTGGTCTTCTTTCCCTTGGAGCTCTCAGTTCTCTGCGCCCGGACCTGCTCTTCAGTTGCTCGCCGCCCAGTTGTACTTGAACTTTCCTGCGTGGGTCTTTGTCCTTGACTCTCAGACCCAGTTTCTGTAGTAATGATCACTTGATGGCTCACTTAAGTCATGAAGTAGACTAGAGCCTTTGTATTCATTGCCTCATTGGATCCCCTTAGCAAGGTGAACATTTTTCCATTTTATGTTGAGGGCTCGGAGAGCTTAAGTAGTTTACCCAGGGTCACCCAGCTGGGCGGCTTGGAGGCTGGGACTCCAGGCCTGACTTTGCTTTAGACACTGTGCTGGACGATTACGTTATCACCTTGTCCTTTTTTTCTCTCTTGGGAGTATCAAAATGGCCATGAAATTCTATCCCTTGATTAATCAAAGTTTTATCTTTAAGTTTTTTATTAAATCTTATGCCCTAAGGCACTTGATGGAATTTCAAGGCTAGTAAAAATACAATGATTTTTTTCTGGTTTATAAGGAGCAAACTTTTGATTTGCTTTTGAACAGAATCCTCTTAGTTGGTGGAATTAGACCACCAGTGGCCTCAGCCCTACTGTAGACTAGGTGCTGGGGCCACGCCAGGGTGTGTGGCTTAATCCCACTTTCAGGGAACTGCAGTCGGGCTGTGACCAACAACTCTTAATTAATGAGTATTACACAGTAGGTGTGCCGTTAAAAAAGTACATCTGAATCTGACAGTTCAGGCTGCAAGGATGAAAAGTTGCCATGGTTGTTTTTGTATATGAATGCACCATTTCATCCCCTAATTCTCAAGAAGTACAAACTCAGTCAGTATCCTTCTGTCAGAGAGAATCACTGTCTTTAAATATAACATTTTCTAAAGGGGACCCGTTTTATCTGCTGCCTGATTTTTTTTTTTTTTTGAGGAAGATTGGCCTTGAGCTAACATCTATTGCCAATCTTCCTCCTTTTTTCTCCCCACAGCCCCAGTAGATAGTTGTATGTCGTAGTTGTACATCCTTCTAATTGCTCTATGTGGGGCGCCACCTCAGCATGGCTTAATGAGCGGTGAGTAGGTCCACGCCCAGGATCTGAACTGATGAACCCTGGGCCGCCCAAACAGAGTGTGCAAGCTTAACCGCTATGCCACTGGGCCGGCCCCTGATTTCTAATGGCTATGTAGTCTCCATCCCATTATAGGAATTTACCATCATTTCTTTTTTTTTTTTTAAAGATTTTATTTATTTATTTATTTTCCCCCCCAAAGCCCCAGTAGATAGTTGTATGTCATAGCTGCACATCCTTCTAGTTGCTGTATGTGGGATGCGGCCTCAGCATGGCCAGAGAAGCAGTGCCTTGGTGTGCGCCCGGGATCGGAACCCGGGCCGCCAGCAGCGGAGCGCGCGTACTTAACCACTAAGCCATGGGGCCGGCCCACCATCATTTCTTTAAACAATTCCTGGTGTTCTACATTTAGGTTGTTTATAGTTGTTTTGGGTTTTTTTTTTACTATTTATAAACATGTCAGTTGTTCTTAATGGTGTTTATATTTAACAGTTTGAACCTTCTAAATTTTGTACAGTATGAGGTTAAATGTTGAATTTCAAGTCTTCCTGCCCCACAGATTTGAAATGCTGCCTGTTTTAAGCTTTTGTATTCTGTTCTATCAGTCTGTTTCTTTTTGTGCTACTTTATTACTAAAGCTTGCCTAGTAGTCTTCTAATGATGAGATGTTGAAAGTGCTGCTCATTCTCACCTTCTTGGCCGTTCTCTTGTATTTATTCTCCCAGATGTTCAGGTCCTGCCTTCCCAGCCACAGGTCCCCTATGGAGTGGTAGGGAAAATTGACATCTTCAAAATAGTTCACTTTCAAGCAGGGAAGTGATGTAGCTCACCATTTATTCAGTCTTTCTTTTGTCTAGGTTGTAGAAGTTTTCTTAATATAGGTCTTACCATTTTGTTAGTTTGGATTTGTTCCTTTTTAGGCAATTAAGTAACATTTCCAGCTAATCAGTTCCCTTGATCAGTAACTCAGCTTAAAGCAGCAGGAGAGGCTGTCAGCAGGGCCTCAACTCTGTCAGACATCGAGTTAGGTGGTGCTTCCCAATTCATAGTGCGTGCTGAAAGGGTTTATCTTTAATCGTTGAGACTTCAAACGACTTAGAAAAAATAGAACTATTATATTCCACGTTTGACTGCAAGGCTGTCTGTGTTTAGAATAAGTAGTTAAAGTGGGTTGATTTAAAGTAAAGATTTAATATTAAGTAAGCAGTAGAACAGAGGAATATTCTGGTGTGCTTATGGCAAAAATGTGTGAAAATGGTTGTGCAAAGGGCTGGCGGGGGCACTGGCGAGAGAGGCCTGGGAAACCTCTGCCCTGCCCCGTACCAGTGTCGTCGGAAGACGTGCCAGAGGGTTCATTTAGAGTCTGATGTGAAAAAGATGAAGTCTGTTTTTACTCAGCTACAATTCTTTTTTCTTTCCTTTTCTCCATGTCCCAGGGGACCGTGATTAGGGTATTTTCCATTCCAGAGGGACAGAAACTCTTTGAGTTCCGGAGAGGAGTTAAGAGGTAAGGTATATAAACCCCAAACGTTGATTATGGAGCTTCTATTTGGATTTTAGTTTCATGTTCTCTGTGACCAAAAAGTGGAAACTTTAAAGAAACGCTGGGAATCCTAGTTAAAAGACAAGCATTTTCAGCCCAGCTGGATGGTCAGGTGAGGTTTTGGAGTCTCGTCATGGGAGGTAAAGGGACCTTTTCATAAAGCAAACTAGGTCATTTGTCTGTGACCCCACCTGACTGTAGAGCGATGGCCAGATGGCCCGAGAGTGTGGAAGAACTCACAGCCAGGCCCTCTGGGTCCTGTGGATTCCTCGGCCTGCTCTGAGGTGACAGACTAAGAGCTTCCTACCTGGTCAGCTCGCTTCTGTCTTATTGTCTCCTCTGAAAACCTATAACTAGTTCCTCTGTACCCCACTTTACCCCAGCAAATGGCTTTGGCTCTTTTAAAAAAAAAAAACGTATGTCACCGTGTGGAGCTCCCTCCACTTGCCCAGCCGTCTGCAATCCTTGCTGGGCCTGCACTTAGCATCCCTTCCTTTTCTCCTGCTCGGGAGAAGGAGCGTCCATCCTGGGTAGTCCTGGGCCCTCTGCCACAGGACTCAGGCTCTTGGGCCAGATCCGGGGGCCCTGCCTGTAGCTATGTGACCTTGCTTGGCATTACTTAACCTCTGGGGCTCTGGTTCCCCATCCCAAACGGTCGTCTAATAGAACCCACCTCCCTGAGGTTCGGGAATTGGGCCAGGAAGTGCTGGTACTTAGGAAATGTTCCGGAATCTGTAGCCGTTAGTCCCCCTTCTCTGGGAACCTTGCTCTGTCTGTCATGCTCCCTCTCCTCCAAGGGGTTGTTCCCATGGACAGCGCAAATGTACTTTCGTGGCCTGTCTCCAAAGCCAAACACCCAGCCCCCTCGTTACAGCCTCCTTCTGTTTGTTTCTTCCCTTTTCCCTGGGTTTTCCTCACACCACAGCTTTCTAGGTTTTTCTTCTCTTGCTGCTCCTGCTCCGTTTCCTCCTCCTGTATCTCGTTTCTGCCCTGGGGCCTCTTCTCGCCCCCAGTGTACAGCCACACACCCTTCTAAACCATCTTGTCCGTCTGTGTGCTGGCGACTCCTCAGCTGTGCACATAGCCTGGGCTGCTTCCCTGCGGTTTTCCCGTATTTCTCCTGGGAAACCGCTAGCCAGAATGTGCCCCGTCTGCTCCTCATCCCTCACACACCCTATCTTGGTAAATATGGCCACTGTCCCTGGACCCAGTGCCCTAGCCGGAGGGCCTCGACGCTGGCTCCTCCCCCTCATGTCATGCCCCCAGCTAGACAGCAGATGTTAGCCCGTCGGGTCAGTCCCCCGAGTTCAGGTCCCTGCCTAACTGTGTGCCCCCTTGGTCTCTGCTGTTGGCCCCTTCGGTCTGTTCTTCAGACTTCAGCCAGGCTGTTCTTGGAGGATGTAAATACAGTTAGAGCCCACACCCATCTGGAACCTTCCACTGCCTTCCTCGTGCCTGGAGGGTCGACTACAAACCTCTAAACTCCTTGCTTTACAAGGCCTCCCAGTGCTTCCTTTCCAGCTGTCTCGTTTCCCTTTCCCTGTTGCTCCCAGCTCTGCAGAGGCATGATTTGTCTCTCCACTGGGGTCTTACATGTACGTCTCCTGTGCTTGGAACGTCGTGTCTGTGACCTGGCGGCCTCCTGATCCTCTGAGTCAGCTCTAGGGCCTGTGCCTCGGAGAGGCCTTTCCTGACCCTCACGCAGAAGTCACCCTTCCCTCCCTGCTCTGCAGCGCCTTCTGCAGTGACTCTGTAGCACTCCTTTGCTGACAGCAGACTCAGCATCTGCACACGCACCTCCCTGGATGCTCCACTGAGGCCGGAACCACACCTCGGTGGTCCCGAGGGCTTTAGTACCTTGCTGGGTACGTTGTAGCCCTCAGTAAATACGGAGTGAATCAGATAAAACCCCTACTCTTGACAGGGCTAAACCTACCTTGTATTCCTAGGATTATGAGGAAATGCAGATTTATTCAACGGCTTTGAGATTTTTAAGATCAACTGTAGAGTCTCGGCATGTTGAAAGTTTTCCTCTATTCTTAAATGTTATCAGGGTTGCTGATTTACCTTTCTTCGTGTTAAAAATTGCTGTAATTTAAATTGTTGAGTTTTCTTTTAATAACCTTAGTGCTGTAAATCCAGCCTAATTCAGCTAAAAATGGTTTAGTGAAGTCCTGATTCCCTTTGTTAGTTGGAATTGGAAAGAAAATTGGCAGTTTAAGGATATATTAAAGGATTACTCTTACTTGGTATTACCTTTCTAACATTTTCCTTCCTTAAGAAAAATTTTTGAGAGGACAACTAAAGAGGAATAAGAAAGATCTCAGTAGACCCAAGTAGGCCTATTATGGGAACTTGCCTTCTCTGTGACTTGACCATCCTAAAGGAAGGTTGCTAGTGGCCCTCAGTGTTTACGGGTGACAGCATAACTCTGACCTCCTTCGACTCGTCCCCAGGTGCGTGAGCATCTGCTCCTTGGCCTTCAGCATGGATGGCATGTTCCTGTCCGCGTCCAGCAACACTGAGACTGTGCACATCTTCAAACTCGAGACTGTGAAAGAAAAGTGAGTTGCAAAGATATGTTTGTTTAAAAAAAAAAAACACTTTCTCCACTGACTGGATGAAAACGTAAGCACAGGCGCCGTTCTGCCTTTAGACATTTTTGTCAATAAAGACCTTGAGCTGGCTCTAGAATAAGTGTCACCAAATCTAGGCTCAGCAGTAAAACAAGTTTTTCCCCCATAAGGTGATGTTCTAAAGTGGGAGGTATGCTGAAAGAATAAGGCGTAATGTGAGGCATGAAGGGGAAAAATGGATATCTTTTGGTCAGTACAAATGTCCACCTCCTAACGCTTCCCTTATACACAAAAGCATTTATGAGTAGACTGCCCGTTGGAATGAATACTTGTCTCCACTTACCCATAGGTGGTTTTCATTTTTGAAGTAGTTGATTTCAATTATGTATTACTGCGATGGATATGTATGGTGACAGGGATGGTTCTTTTCTTTTCTGGAATTTTAAAAAGAACATCCCACTAGGGTCAGTGTTGTTTGTTCATGCTCTGTGTCCTCAAGGAGCATTTAAGATAACTTACAAAATATATACAAGATGAACAGTAACAAGAAAAATGGGCCACAGGAAAATAACAGTTTGAGATTTGTGTTCATAAGGTTTTCAGACTTCCTGTTAAAAAGATCGGGGTGGAGGGATCATGAATTTGGCCCCATACATTCTCACATTTGCTACAAGGCGGGAGCCTGATCGTTTGCCACATCTAATGGGGCCGCGAGTGTGGCTCTCCCAAGTTGTGAAACCTGAGAGGCCTCCTCCTCTGGCCCTTCCCAGAGGACACGCTTGTAATGACCCCAGGGTCTCAAGAGGTTATTGTTTCCTGCACTCTTTTTTTTCCTGAAGTATGGGAGATTTCTCTTTGAAGTTTCAGGGCTGATACGTGCCTCTGTGTGAGTGGGACGTGGTCGTTCTCATGGTGAGAGTCCAGCTTTATGTGTCTGCTTATGTTCCCTTCCTCTAGACCTCAGGAGGAGCCCACCACCTGGACTGGGTACTTCGGGAAAGTGCTCATGGCTTCCACCAGCTACTTGCCCTCCCAAGTAACAGAAATGTTCAATCAGGGCAGAGCCTTTGCCACCGTCCGCCTGCCTTTCTGTGGCCACAAAAACATCTGCTCACTCGCCACGTGAGTAGAGACAGGTGTTGCCTCCTTGCCCTTTTCCCCGGGTACTTCCCGCCAGGAGCCACGTCACAGAGCACCAGAGACAGTGCCTGGCGTGGCCCCAGAGTACCCTGCACACTTAGACCTTCGATGTAGTCAGAGTTACGTAGAAGTGGAGGGAATCAAGGTGCACCTTCACCGTTAGTAGCCTTGAATGCCTTCTCTGTGATGCTCTGATCCCAAAATCTCTTCCTCTTTCTGTTTTTGTTAAGAATTTTTGGAGTCTTAATGAAAAACATCAAGTCAAAAACTATATGAGATTACCAATATTTAACCCTTCGAGGCCTACAAAAGTAGCAGTTTCACGTAGTTTAAGGCTCCCCGTGTGGCTCCGGAGTACAGCTTCAGAGTGCTCAGGAGTCCTGTGAACTTCTTTGGGATCGTCCATGCAGGAACAGTGAAGCCATGCGGGAAAAGAACCTCGTGAAAATTCAGTGATAGCACATCTTTATGATTCTATGAATCTTATAAACATTATTTTACATCCTTTTTATGTAACTAACATAGTTGAAAAAGTTTATGAAAATATCTACCCCTAGTAATCAGAGACAGTGTGAACCTGCTTTTGTTCCCACCTGTTCTCCTGAGCTTCAGTTCATTCACACCAAGTACACTCTCGGCCTTGACGTCCCGGCCTCAAGTAGCACAGTGGCCGTGGTCTTTATCCTCTTCCTCATGGATAATATGTCAAGCACACGAAACTAAATTTGTGCTCGTGTTGGAACGCGGGAGGTGTTTCTTCCCTAGCCGTGCCAAAGGCGAGGCTGCTGGTTTAACAAGAACTTGGTGTGAAAGTCACCATCCTAGAATTTCACTGCTCTTTCTTCTCACTAGAATTCAGAAGATTCCACGATTATTGGTGGGAGCTTCCGACGGGTACCTGTACATGTACAACCTGGACCCCCAGGAAGGAGGCGAGTGCACCCTGATGAAACAGCACAAGTAAGTCGGCCCACCCCCGTGTCACCTCCTCCTCCTCGGTGCAGCCAGGCTGCTGTTGGCCACCTGCGCGTGTTTGCTCGTTTCCTCGAAGGCCAGTGATACAGAGGGACCCCTTCCTGGATGGAACCTGAGTTGGTTAGGGGCTTCCCATTCCCAGACGGAATTGGTTGTGGTGCAGGCTCCTTCTGCCACGCCTCCCTGCCACTGTCCCAGTCAGAACCTGGGCCCAGAGAGGGGTAGATGTGGGCGGTGCCACACTGTCCTTCCCCGCAGAGGGGGTACATTCCTAGAGATCAGCTAGGGATGGAACTTAACACTTTGGAAGAAAGGGATGACACACATGGTGTCATCCACCATGTAGCACGCGTTCTTGGAAGGCCTGCTCTCTCACTGTGAGATGGCAGGTTTTCTCTTGAAAAGAAGGAATTACTGTTTGTTAATTGGGAAGTGGTGCGGTTTGATTTTTCTGTTTTTGCTTTTTTAATTATCTAAAAGTTCTAACAACGATACTGTAATACTTTTTTTTTTTTTTTTTGGTGAGGAAGACTGGCCTTGAGCTAACATCTGTTGCCAGTCTTCCTCTTTTTGCTGAGGAAGATTAGCCCTGGGCTAACATCTGTGCCCATCTTCCTCCACTTTATATGGGACACCACCACAGCATGGCTTGTCAAGCAGTGCATCAATGCGCGCCCGGGATCCGAACCTGTGAACCCTGGGCTGCCGCGGCAGAGCACGTGCGCTTAACTGCTATGCCACCGAGCCAGCCCCTATAATACTCTTATTATCGGGGTGGGAGTGGGAGGTGATTTTTTTTTTATGGTGAAGTCTATTTATGATCATTAATCTTAAGTCTGCAGTAAGATTACCTCACTAGGTATAACTTTTTCCATCAGACTTACCCTGTAAAAATCCGAGTGGACAGATGCCCAGGGAGTCATGCTAAAGTCCGTCTAATGGGGGCCTCTTGCCTTTGTTGCTGCAGGTCCGGTGTCCAGGCCTGAGAGGCAGTGTTAGCCCTGCACCCCTGCCTGTCCTCACTGTTTCTGTGTTCCTCTGCTTTTCCCAGGTTGGATGGCAGTATGGAGACAACCAATGAAATCCTAGACTCTGCCTCCCATGACTGCCCCTTAGTAACACAGACCTACAGCGCAGCCGGGACTCACGTGCCTTCATCTCCGACGAGACTCGGTGAGGATGGGCCTCCTGCGGTGGTCCCCACGCTTTGTGCTTCTCACCCTGTCAGAGTTGCCCACCTGCCACTTTGCAGTGGGCAGGGAGCCATAGCGCTCAGACAGAGGCGAGCTGTTGGCAATTCTCCAGGCTGAGTTCGTTTTCTTCATCTTTGAAGAAAAAATAGTCGTCATGGCTCAGGCTGCCGTGGGTGCACATGAATTGTCCCCCACCTCGCTGCCTCTCAGATAAGGTATTACTACCCTAAATTCTGACCCTGTGGAGCACGTGTCCTCGGTCTTTACTCTTCACCTGGGTAGTCACCAGCAAGCATGCGTGGACACGCCCTTGGGACCAGGGCCCTGCGCAGAGGGAGCACTGCAGCAGGGGCAGGACGGTGGGCCTGTGGGAGGGGCCCTCCTGCTGCAGAAGCTGGTCATTCGTCGTGCAGACCAGTGCGGCCATGCTGTGACCTTTCCACTCCTCATGAGCCGTCCTTCCCCAACCCCCAAAATCAACTTGACCTCAAGTGGGCGATCCTGCAGGTTTGCTCCCACGTGAGGTGGTACTTCTCACGGTTGCTCTCTGAGATGAAGTGGCGCTTAGAAAGAGGCAACACTGAGTGTTTCTGTTTGTGGATGTCCCACGTGACCAGTGCAGGAAGTGCTTCCATTCTCCCTGGTCACTAAGGAGACGTTACAGCCTGTCCTCGGTGTGGCCAGGCTGCTGGGAAGCCCCTCTTTACTGTGCAGGCATCTTTTTGACATTTATGAATTTTGGACAATAAATGACTTCATCTTGAGCTGCCTAAATATGCAAAAAGCTCGTTAGTCAAAAGAGAGATTAAAATTCAGAGTCTTAGTACGGGCTGCAGTTTATAAACCCCACCATGTTCCCCAAATCCAGCCTCCACGTGGCCGCTAGGGTCTGCTTTCTCTGTCTCCCAGCCTCTGAGGGTGACCTCGCTGTCTCTTTGCAGCCTACACAGACGAGCTGGGTGCAGCAGGCGGCGCTTGTCTGGAAGATGAAGCCAGTGCCCTGCGGCTGGAGGAAGACAGTGAGCATCCTCCCATGATTCTTCGGACAGACTGAACTTGACCTGTGAACTCTGACCCCTGAAGCAGAGAACACTGGCTTGACAGAGGACTTTGTGTTATGCTGCTATGAACTTTGACCAGAGTTGGGGGAGAGGATGGCAGAGACTTAAAAAGAAAAAAAAAGATTGTAGCTGTAGTCTCATTCCGTACTGTTGAGAAATACATTGTTTTCACTTCAGTGGCTTTTAATCCTGCTTATGAATTTTAGCTTTTTGTTTGTTTTCTCTTTTTGCCAAAATTAACTGTTTGGTGAAGCCCTTGAAACCTCCTTGCTTTGCATGCATTACTGTGCCAAGCCAGCGTAGGAGAGCTAGAAGCCACTTGATAACAAAGTCCAGTTGTTGGGATTTTTACAGTCTGTATGTAATGAGGAGCGCACCCGAGGAGGTGGTGTCGCGCAGAGCGGTTCTGGTGGTCGAGGCTGGTTCTGCTCCGAGAGGTCCAAGAGCCCCCAGGGCGTGCCAGGGCTGGGCCAGCACCGGCCTCTCCCTGGAGCCTTTCCTGGACCATTTTCCCTGCTTTATTTTGTTAATTAAATTCTTTCCAAATTGGATTATTCTGGGATTTCTTCCATGGTGGACTTTTATTTGGTTTCTGATCTTGTTTTCCATGTGGGTATTGGAAGAGAGAGGTTCTTTCTGATATTAAAAACCCTTCCTTCTGACAGCAAATGAACTCGAAAGAATGCCTAGGAATTCGAGAGCGAAGGAAAGGGGTCTTGTTTGTAGGATTAAATTATCTGGTCTTTACTTTAATCTTCCCATTGAATAACTGTGTGACTTTTTTTTTTGAGGGGGAAAGTCTGTAGCTATTCCTACGCCCATGAAGCACAGAATTAAAATGTGCTGGGTACCCGAATTGTCCTCTTGCCTTGAGCTCCACTGTCTTGTCGGGGCCCTTCTCACCTGGGTCAGGAGTCGTAGAGATAGGTAGAAAGAAACACAAGAGGGAAGTTGGCTGTGAACACCTGCTCTACAGGGTTGTATGTGCCTTTTCTATTTTGATCTTAGAAAATCGTTCAGCAAAGTGATGAGAGATTGTCGTCATGAGTTCCAGTATTTGCCTGGCTTCCTGTTTCATTTTTACAGAATCTCAACAACCTCAAATACCTCAAACTCAGCATTCCAAACCAAGACACATAGCAAAGTTCTGAGGGAGCGTAAGTGGATTTAATGGCAGGAAAGATCATTCTAGATTCTTTGGAATGATGACAGGGATAGAAGCACAAAAGCAAAGATATTGTATTTGCCCTCCCTTTTCACTTTGTCAGGGTTTTGATCAGAGGAGGGGTCAGAGGGGCCCGTTCCAGGTCGTTTTGTGTCTTGGCCGTAGCAGTCGGGTGGCTTGTAACGGAGAGGGGTGGTGGCAGTTGGCCTGACCGTCGACTTGAGGGTCAGTCCGTGCACCTGGGCTGCTTGTCCAGCAGTTGGGTGGCTTTAAGGTGGAAGCCGAAATGCAAGGGGTGCTTAGAGTGAGTTCTGACTACAGCAGAAATCTCTAGAAAGGCTGGTGATGGCAGCAGTGTGAAGTGCTGTATTAGTCAGAGGAGGAAGGTGGGAATATACTCTCCTTTCCTCTGAAGTCTCTGGCCCGTCTGTCCTGGACCCCTGACGAAACATGATCCACAGTGACAGATCTGACAGGATGAGCGTCTGCTGCACCCTGGGCAGGGATACTCCTTGACCTGAGGGGTTAGGAGGGCCCGAGCAGGGCAGTCTGCCTGTATCAGAACCTCAGGGCATGGGACCTGGAATGTTCTCTCACTGTTGCTCTCTGGGACGAGGGGTTGGACACCGTCTCTCTGTGGCACATTTGGCCGGGGTGACTGTTAATGGGAAGACAGTGTCCAGGTGTCCGTGACAGCTGTGGGACCCTAAGCGAGGGTCTCCTGATAACCAGAGAGAGAAGTGCATTTCCTGTTCTGTGTTAACATGCCCCCATCTTGGTGTCTGCTTGTTGACTCCCACACTCGGGGTGACTTGGGGAATGGAAGCTTTGCCGGGTTTCTCGTGGTCACCGGCGTGTGGTTCCTCTTTCTCTGGTGGTCCTAGAAGATGTGGGGGTTCTCTTCCCTCTTTCAGCATCAGTTTGCTCGACTGTAAGGTGGGCAGTTAGAGAAGGTGCCTCGTGTCCTGTGACTGTCCCCCCCACCCTCCCCAGGGGTCCCGGCAGGGCTGGCAGGTAGGATGACACAGGCTCTGCCCGGTGCTTCTTTTCTCAGCCATGCAAGGCCTCGCCCTGTGTGCCCCGGATTTACCCTGTGCACCCCAGTGGGGGAACACTAAGGATTCCTGGTTGAGAAAAACTCGGAGGAGGTGTGTGTGTTTGCTGACTGACCATTGTTGAGGATTGGCCACCCTCCAGTTCTCCTTTGCTGTTTCATTGCCAGGGCACCTCTTCCTTTGTGCTGAGTGTTCCCAGCAGGTCGAGGCCCGTGCGGGAGAGCCGGGGGAAGGAGGGGAGAGAAGCAGAAGCTGCTGAGGTGGCCGCTAGTGGATCTGATTGCCGTGCTGGGAAGCTAGACGGAAAGGGACTCCAGCTGACCCCAGCAGGACTGTGCATGAATTTGCTGAACTCCAAACTATACACCAATGTTAATTTTTTGTGTCATGTTTTCCCAAACTTGAGAAAAGCTTATGGGGGAGGGGGCATAGGAAACAAACCCCGGAAACTCACTCAATGGACTTGTGTGGATTGGGACCAAACCTTTTGTGTTTTCTAAAACAATGGAACCAAAGTTGGATTGAACCTGGAGTTAAAAAGGACTGAATTCAGTCCCTGATTCTACCACCTTATTGGTGGTGTGGCCTGGGGCGGTCACCGGGGAGCCTTGGTCTCCTGGCCTGGACAGTGGGGGGATCCCTACCTCACAGGGGGATTGTGAAGTGTAACACGACGTGTGTCCTGCAGGCGCCTGGCCTGCGGGGCACCCAATAAACACTGAAAGAGAGACTGCTCCTCTGGAATTGAACCCCTCGTGTTTATTGCGTTCTGGTTCCTGAGTGCAGAGCTGGTGGGGAAGAGGAGATGAGTATGAGGAGAAGCGGACTGCACTATTTGAGGTTGTGTGTGGCCTCCTTCATCCCTGCCTGTCCTGTCCCCGGATTCCAGGCACAGCGAGCGCAAGTGTGAGTTGGTCTTGGGAGGGGTGGGCGTGGAGACTCGTAAGTCTTGCAGATTGAGCACTGCCTGCTGGGCCCAGCGGGCTGCGGTCACCCAGACGCAGGCAGTTCACCACCGGGTCTGAGGACTCCACCCTCCTCCCAGAGCAAATCTGCTTCCCACCAGGACGGGACTCGAACTCCTCCTACCTTCTCAGCTGGGCCTTGCCCAGCCCTCTGTCAGGGACCCCAAGAGCTTCTAGGCTGCGGCTCCTGGCCGAGGAGTGAGTTACCAGGCTCTGCCTACCCACAGGTTCATTGGGGAGGAGAAGAGAGAAAGACTTTTCTTGTCTCTTGTCTTCCCCGTGGCCAGCAGTGGACCACATATAGAAAAGACTAGAAGTGCTTAAGTCAACAGCAAAGGAAAATTGGATACTCAGTGACAGAGAGCGTGTTCCTGGCTGATTGCTGCTGTCGTTCATGGTTTTTGTGACGGTGTGGGCGAGAAGCTGCCCCTGAGCCGTGCTGTCCCCTGCCCTGCCTCTCCACAGATCCTGCTCCTGCATGCAGAGAATGCGGGAGTCCTTCGTTAAAACGTGTATGTGACGCTGCAGCCAGCACAGCTGAAGACCCAAATCCGTTATTTTACAAGTGTTCTTTTTTTTTTTTTTTTTTTAGATTTTATTTATTTATTTTTTCCCCCCAAAGCCCCAGTAGATAGTTGTGTGTCACAGCTGCACATCCTTCCAGTTGCTGTATGTGGGACGCGGCCTCAGCATGGCCGGAGAAGCAGCGCGTCGGTGCGAGCCCGGGATCCGAACCCCGGGTCGCCAGCAGTGGAGCGCGCGCACTTAACCACTAAGCCACGGGGCCGGCCCTACAAGTGTTCTTAATCGTTTTGAAACTCAAGGTGGACAGGTGGGAAACCTTTGGTTTTGGTCTGCAGTGTTGGAGATGTAAAAACAAAGTGCACTCGAGCCATTGGTGTTCTGTTTGGGAAGAGGGCTTTACATAGACTTCTCCGTTGTCAGTAACTGATTTCTTACTGAAAATACACGAAGAGAGTTCACGGCCAAGCAGACAAGAGTCCATGATGTAGACACCAGGTCACAATCCTTGGCCCGTGTTGTACCTTTTCATTCTGTGGATTTTGTGAAGCACAAAACACACTGGATTTTGAGGGGTGGCCAGCCCTTTCTTATCCTGCCCTGGTATCTGACCTGGAAAGTCTTTAATTTGGAAAAATTAAATCTTTTTGAAGCCCAGAATTTAAAGGGACTGTTTTGATTCTTTATCGCTATGTTTTCATCCTTTACTGAATTGTAATTTAACTCCTTACATTTCCTTTTTTAGGTGAATCTGCTGTATGTGCTGCCAGTGTGTATGGGAGAGAGAGAGTGTGTGTGTGAACGTGTCACGGTGAACGTGCTCACTGCTTACACTCCGTACCTAATCAGACTGGAAAGCCCATTGCTGTCAGCATTTTATAACTGCATTAAGAAATTAAAACCTGTGTGCTATTTTTTTCGTTGATTCATTGCCTCTCACAGGCTACCCATCTCATTTGTACCATATTTAAATGCACTGTAATTCTATCTAGAATGGGGTAGCAAAATATCAGAATCCTGCAGCCTAAAATCTTATAAAGGTTTTCATCCAGAATTGATTTTTGTCCTTTGTGAAACAGATTATTCACTTCTCTCCAACAGAATCCTTGGCCTCGTGTGACACTGTAAAAGTCTGAATTTTCCGGGACGGGCGGGACGCAGCCGGCAGTGCCCTTGTATCCCTGAGGCAGCCTGACTTTCTTGGTGGGAATGGTTGGCCTGCTTGTGATGGGGAGACGGGATGAACTCGCTCTGCTTGCCTTCGTGTTTTCAGTAAAGTGTTACTTGAAATGCAGTGCTGGCGGCTTCTTTTAGAAGCATATCCTTCTGTAAACTGAATTGCTTTGTCACAAATTTCCCCCTAGCTTAGAGAATTTGTTCCTTTTGTATCAAAGGCTGAGAAGTGTCTATTTTATGTTCTCCTACTGAATAAGGCATGCGTTGACGCCAGCAGGTGCATTTCTGACCGGGCGGCTGGTCGTGGCTG